CAATGGCATCCTAGTGATACTTTTAAAAGCTAGAAAGTCAACAAGTCAAGTACCATCTCGCTATAACGTCACCAAATCAACTACCATCCCACTATAACGTCACCAACTACCATCCCACTATAACGTCAACAACTACCATCCCACTATAACGTCACCAACTACCATCCCGCTATAACGTCACAAAGACAACTACCATCCCGCTATAACGTCACCAACTGTCATCCCACTATAACGTCACCAACTACCATCCCACTATAACGTCACCAACTACCATCCCGCTATAACGTCACCAACTACCATCCCGCTATAACGTCACCAACTACCATCCCGCTATAACGTCACCAACTACCATCCAACTATAACGTCACCAACTACCATCCCGCTATAACGTCACCAACTACCATCCCGCTATAACGTCACCAACTACCATCCCACTATAACGTCACCAAGTCAACTACCATCCCGCTATAACGTCACCACCTACCATCCAACTATAACGTCACCAACTACCATCCCACTATAACGTCACCAAGTCAACTACCATCCCGCTATAACGTCACCAACTACCATCCCGCTATAACGTCACCACCTACCATCCAACTATAACGTCACCAACTACCATCCCGCCATAACGTCACCAACTACCATCCCGCTATTATGTCACCAAGTCACCGGTTCCATCCCCCTCTACACCAGGAAGTTACAGTGATGGAAACATGTTTAGAATCTGCAACGTTCACACGGGAATCTGATGCCACATCAGTCTATTGAAAGTGTCAACTCTAGGGCTAGTAGACTCATTCAAGCAGTGTCACCCACATCCAACGACTTTATATATATATATATATATATATATATATATATATATATATATATATATATGTATATATATATATACCACACATCCAATAATACACAAACAACCATACACAGTCAAATACACATAATCAAACACACACAACACAGTCAACAACACAACACTCAGTCATCAACACCCAATCATCAACACATACTCAATCTACCAACGAATCAGGAAATAAACACAATAATAATTATTTACCACCTATAAACACATTAATTATTTACCACCTATCAACACTACATCTATCGTCAGCAACGCATAATTCCTGTCGTTATCATTATGCACTAATACAAAACAGCTGTCTCTATTAAATCAAGTTTAAAATCAAGTCTTTTAATCTACACATACGTTACATAACATATTTAATTACAATCACCATGCGTGCAATCGTTTAACAATTAACATATTTTATCAAGAGAACAAACATTGTAGTTCGCGGCGTCTTGCAGACAATCAAGTGACCTTGCAACAGACACGTGACCTTACGGGAACCACGTGACCTTGCATATCTACGTGATGGCTCTGTGACAATAACGTTATCAGACGTGTCGTGTGCTTTTTTTTTTTTTTTTTTTTTTTTTTTTAATTTTTTTGTGTTTTGTTTTATTGCCTTAACACGGCAGAACTATTTCCACGACAGAACTATTTCCACGACAGCGCTAAGTCCACAACTCGCCTGTTTACACAACTAAAGTGTGCCTGAGATAGTAACTAGGTGTGGGGCCTTGGCCGAGTTGCCGGCTAAGTGGTTAAGGTGGTTGTGTGGTTGTGTGGTTGATACGTGATAAGGGTGGGGTAGGCGGGGTGGGGTGGAGTGGGGTGGTAAAAAAAATCTTAAAAAGTGCTGAGCGTCAGTTTTTACCGGCGTGCGTTCAATGGTTCTGAGAAGGTACTTGACTCGAGTTAAGCCATTAATTCCGGTATTCAAACCTCAAGTGCTGGGGTACGACACTGAACAAACTAACTTCTCCACCATAAACATATCATTGAGCGTGGGCGTCAGCACTTAAAATCAACGTGGAGGTGTGGGGGGGGGGAACCAGAGTTTCTTCCAGGCATCTCTTCGGGGGGGCAAAGCCCCCCCGAAAATTTTTTACCGCCCCCCGAACGAAATGAAATTTATATAATTTATATAGAAAATATATACTTTTAACAGTGTCCGCCCCCCCCCGAAGAAAGTTTACCGCCCCCCCCCCCCCCGAAGATTTCAAGTGCCCCCCCGGAGAAAAAAGTCTGGAAGAAACACTGGGGGGAACGACACAACGAAACCCATCGCTCAGAAATACCTACATATGTACCTGAGCCACTAATTAATATTAAACGGAGAGGAGGGGGGGATAATTAAATCAAGAAAAATGAAAATTACAAATATTTAACTATTTTGAAATATTAGATACCTGATTTTAGAGAGTCCTCCGGTTTTAAAATCAGAACAGAATACCCCATCATAAAGTCGATCGTTCTTAATAAAGTGATCTCCCTTGAAAAATAAAATGCCGACATGGCTCGAATAGTTGAGAGGGTGAAGGTTTGTTTGTTTTCGTTCGCCGTTTTTTTATATAAACACGATCTTTAAAGAACTTTTTATCAAAGAGTTTTGTGGGGAAAAGGGGGGGGGGGTGAATTTAAATAAAAAGTCTCATTTTGACATCAATGATTTATGCGGTGTCGCCAAACTTTCGAGAACTATAAGGGCACAAAACTTTTGGTATTAGAAAATGGGGAATTACCATTTTCTACAGCATATACCTTTTGAAACAGCAAATATGACTTATGACAGAAATATACTATTTTTTGACAGGAAGAGACTAAGACAAAGACCACGAGGAAAATTGTAACGTGTTAAGTATTGTAACGTATTTCGTGTGCGCGGTGTTCTAGATGTATTATACATGGATATATGTATTTTACAAAATAGACTGCGCGGCATTCAAAACTATTGCGCGGCCGCGCAACCGCGCATCATAGAAAGGACATAGCTTAAGACGGAAACAGACTAAGACAAAGACCACTTAAGACTTGAGAAAGATAAAGACTAAGTAAAATAGCACTTAAGACAGAGACTAAAACAAAGACCTCTAAGACAGACAAAGACTAAGACCTCTAAGACAAAGACTAAGACGAAGACCTCTAAGACAAAGACTAAGACGAAGACCTCAAAGACTAAGACAAAGACCTCTAAGACAAAGACTAAGACGAAGACCTCTAAGACAAAGACAAAAACGAAGACCTCTAAGACGAAGACCTCTAAGACAAAGACTAAGACGAAGACCTCTAAGACGAAGACCTATAAGACAAAGACTAAGACAAAGACTAAGACGAAGACCTCTAAGACTAAGTCAAAGACCTCTAAGACAAAGACTAAGACGAAGACCTCTAAGACAAAGACTAAGACGAAGACCTCAAAGACTAAGACAAAGACCTCTAAAACAAAGACTAAGACGAAGACCTCTAAGACTAAGTCAAAGACCTCTAAGACAAAGACTAAGACGAAGACCTCTAAGACAAAGACTAAGACGAAGACCTCAAAGACTAAGACAAAGACCTCTAAAACAAAGACTAAGACGAAGACCTCTAAGACTAAGTCAAAGACCTCTAAGACAAAGACTAAGACGAAGACCTCTAAGACAAAGACTAAGACGAAGACCTCAAAGACTAAGACAAAGACCTCTAAAACAAAGACTAAGACGAAGACCTCTAAAACAAAGACTAAGACGAAGACCTCTAAGACAAAGACTAAGACGAAGACCTCAAAGACTAAGACAAAGACCTCTAAGACAAAGACTAAGACGAAGACCTCTAAGACAGACTAAGACAAAGACTAAGACAAAGACAGACTAAGACGAAGACCTCTAAGACAAAGACTAAGACGAAGACCTCTAAGACAAAGACAAAAACGAAGACCTCTAAGACGAAGACCTCTAAGACAAAGACTAAGACGAAGACCTCTAAGACAAAGACAAAAACGAAGACCTCTAAGACGAAGACCTCTAAGACAAAGACTAAGACGAAGACCTCTAAGACGAAGACCTATAAGACAAAGACTAAGACAAAGACTAAGACGAAGACCTCTAAGACAAAGACTAAGACAAAGACCTCAAAGACTAAGACAAAGACCTCTAAGACAAAGACTAAGACGAAGACCTCTAAGACAAAGACTAAGACGAAGACCTCAAAGACTAAGACAAAGACCTCTAAAACAAAGACTAAGACGAAGACCTCTAAGACAAAGACTAAGACGAAGACCTCAAAGACTAAGACAAAGACCTCTAAAACAAAGACTAAGACGAAGACCTCTAAGACAGACTAAGACAAAGACTAAGACAAAGACAGACTAAGACGAAGACCTCTAAGACAAAGACTAAGACGAAGACCTCAAAGACTAAGACAAAGACCTCTAAGACAAAGACTAAGACGAAGACCTCTAAGACAAAGACTAAGACGAAGACCTCAAAGACTAAGACAAAGACCTCTAAAACAAAGACTAAGACGAAGACCTCAAAGACTAAGACAAAGACCTCTAAAACAAAGACTAAGACGAAGACCTCTAAGACAGACTAAGACAAAGACTAAGACAAAGACAGACTAAGACGAAGACCTCTAAGACAAAGACTAAGACGAAGACCTCAAAGACTAAGACAAAGACCTCTAAGACAAAGACTAAGACGAAGACCTCTAAGACAAAGACTAAGACGAAGACCTCAAAGACTAAGACAAAGACCTCTAAGACAAAGACTAAGACGAAGACCTCTAAGACAGACTAAGACAAAGACTAAGACAAAGACAGACTAAGACGAAGACCTCTAAGACAAAGACTAAGACGAAGACCTCTAAGACAAAGACAAAAACGAAGACCTCTAAGACGAAGACCTCTAAGACAAAGACTAAGACGAAGACCTCTAAGACAAAGACAAAAACGAAGACCTCTAAGACAAAGACTAAGACGAAGACCTCTAAGACAGACTAAGACAAAGACTAAGACAAAGACAGACTAAGACGAAACCTCTAAGACAAAGACTAAGACGAAGACCTCTAAGACAAAGACTAAGACGAAGACCTCTAAGACAAAGACTAAGACGAAGACCTCTAAGACAAAGACTAAGACGAAGACCTCTAAGACAGCAAACAAGCCACTGACCATCTCCCGCATGTTAGAGGCGTACAGCAGACGGCTCCTCCTCTCCTGATTGTGGGCGTTGACCAACGTCTCCACCTGTCTCCTGATGTCCATCACCTCGCCCAGCACGATGCCAGAACTGACCAGCACCACCAACATCACGTGCCAGACCCCCATCTTCACAGCACAACACGACAACTGCACAGTTCGTGATCACCTTGCTTATATCCCTTTGTTAACGAAATGTTGATGTTGTAAAACTCGTGTTTTGAGAATGATCTCATTAATTTCGTTCCGAACTGAAAGGTACTGTTTATTTATCTTATCGGAGACCTGAACAGGGCTTATATAGCTATTATAATAAAACAACAAATAAGAAGGTCTTCACCAGGAATGAAAACAATGTGAATTGTTTTTCTTTTAAATAGAATGCCAGTTACTCAACGTGTAATAACCTATTCGCTATTTTTAAACATGTATTTGTAACATCAAAATTTTACAAAAGAATGACAGATAGGCCTATCCGATTTTTATAAAAGAATGAATTATCCGATTTTTACAAGAGAATGAACTATCCAATTTGTAATTTAAAAACAAGCATTTTTAAGATCTAATTTGCTACTACACAAAAATTTCAAACATCCAATTCGCTATTTAAAAAAAAAATTTCCAATTAGTTTCTTCCAACAGGAATTTGAAATATTGCACTAGAACTGTACCACTTATCAGTCCATATTTTATGTTCAAAATTTTCTCTACATGACACCTGTGTAGATGTCAAGGCTTTGAAGGCTGAAACCAAACAAGGTAATATTCATTATCCCGCTAGATAAGAAGGCTATCATTTAAGGCGAGGGGCGGAGGTGTTTGAAAAATGTGCTAAACACAAACTTAGGTTAACGCAAGTCAACTATTTAAGACGCGTAAAAAAAATTCCAATCAAATATTCAGGAACAGATAACTCTAAATAAACGTGTCGTAAAAGAGAAGATAACTAACTTTTTAAAAAAAATTTTTTTTAATTATTTCGATAACTTTCAAATACAAAATTGTACAATCCCGCTGGAATCCACTGATAATTTATGTGTATGAAACTACCAACACAACACATCAAATCACACGAAACACAATGAATGTGTCGCAACACAGCGGATCCACACGATATGTGTCAACATGTCTTTAACTGATGTTCGCACCGTGTTTACCGAGATGTGTCCCACAGCGAATGTGTCCCCCTCCCCCTCTCTCCCCCACCCCCCAGCGCCGTGCCAGACTAGCTCCACCCCCCTGCACTTACCAGATGTCATTCACCACGCAGGCGGTGACATGCCTGTCCTCTTTGTGCCGGTAACTAGCGGAACCAACCCCCCCCCCCCCCTTCCTCCGTGCTACTTAATGAAATCATAATCAACCTTTAACCCTGTTCACAAAACGAGAAAATTAACTTTAATTAAGCAGCAATTAGTATCTAAATTAATTTTGATAAACTGCAATTCCAATATGCCGTGGAATTTTATATTACAGTTACGATATTTCAAAAATGAAAAAAAAGTAACATTCAGCTTTTCGCATACATCGGTATCTTTATTAACTTTTAACTAAGACTATTCACAAACTGTTGAAAAGAACCGAACGTATCAAGTTAAAAGGGCAGCTTGTTACCTAGGGATGATCCGACAGGTAAACTTGTTTGTTGTTTTTCGACTCACAACAATACAAAGGGGGAACAATAAAAATATTCTGTGCGTGATAGTTTGTCTATTGTTGGGGATTAAGGGGGATAAACTAGAAACATTCTGTGCGCGGATAGTTTGCCCATTGTTGGGTATAAACCTGCACATTTGAACATATTATAACAGACTACCGGTACACTCAACTCCACAGTTGTCCCCTCCCCCCCTCCCCTCACACACACACACACACATACACACACAATCACACCACACACACTTTCAAGCCATTTCTTTAAGGAATGTTTGAGTGCAGAACTAAGTGCAAGTTTGAAACGGAACTCTGGAAATAGCTGTGAAACCGGAAGGACAAGAGGGCAAGGAACTAGAGTCGTCCCCCCCCCTCTTGTAGTTGCGTCCCCTTATTATACTTATATAATTATATCTTTATGTTGCTTGACGTACGTAAGTAAAATGTTCTTGTTGAAAATTGTGGCAGGTACATCTATAGAATAAGTCTAGTTATTTCATTTAGACAAAACAAAATTTCTGTACAGAAAATAATTTATTAGCTGACCAGGAGAGGTGATGTATGTAGGGGAGATGATCTATATAAGGGAGGTGATCTATGTAGGGAGGTGATCTATGTAAGGGGAGGTGATCAATATAGGGGAGGTGATCAAGGTAGGGGAGGTGATCTATGTAGGGGAGGTGATCTATGTAAGGGGAGGTGATCAATATAGGGGAGGTGATCAAGGTAGGGGAGGTGATATATGTAAGGGGAGGTGATCAATATAGGGGAGGTGATCTATGTAGGGGAGGTGATCTATGTAGGGGGAGGTGATCTATGTAAGGGGAGGTGATCAATATAGGGGAGGTGATCTATGTAGGGGAGGTGATCTATGTAGGGGGAGGTGATCTATGTAGGGGAGGTGAGCTATGTAGGGGAGGTGATCTATGTAGGGGAGGTGATCTATGTAGGGGAGGTGATCTATGTAAGGGGAGGTGATCTATGTAGGGGAGGTGATCTATGTATGGGGAGAGAACCAACTGAAACAGATAAAATCGCCGAGTGTGCATATTGTAAACACGGTGCCATAAATGCCAGACTTCGATGTTCCCCTACCGGCGCAACACTTCAGGGGGAGGGGAGAAGGGGTTAGCTTATATAGTTTAAAACCTCAGCTGTCAGTTTTTCTAGGGCAGGTGTCAACTCTAAGGACATTTGTCACATCTAGCGGGTAGTAGATCACGTGTTAAGTTGGTAGTCTATCGGTGGTCTATCGGTGGTCTATCGGTGGTCTATCGGTGGTCTATCAGTGGTCTATTGGTGGTCTAGATGGTGGTCTATCAGTGGTCTAGATGGTGGTCTATCAGTGGTCTATCGGTGGTCTAGATGGCGGTCTATCGGTGTTCTATCAGTGGTCTATCGGTGGTCTAGATGGTAGTCTATCAGTGGTCTATCGGTGGTCTATCAGTGGTCTAGATGGTAGTCTATCGGTGGTCTATCAGTGGTCTAGCTCGTGGTCTATCGGTGGTCTATCAGTGGTCTAGCTCGTGGTCTATCGGTGGTCTGGCTGGTAGTCAATCGGTGGTCTATCAGTGGTCTAGCTCGTGGTCTATCGGTGGTCTGGCTGGTAGTCTATCGGTGGTCTAGCTGGTGGTCTATCGGTGGTCTAGATGGTGGTCTAGATGGCGGTCTAGCTGGTAGTCTATTAGTAGTCTAGCTGGTGGTCTATCGGTGGTCTAGATGGTGGTCTATCAGTGGTCTATCGGTGGTGTAGCTCGTGGTCTATCGGTGGTCTGGCTGGTAGTCTATCGGTGGTCTAGATGGTGGTCTATCGGTGGTCTAGATGGTGGTCTATCAGTGGTCTATCGGTGGTCTATCAGTGGTCTATCGATGGTCTATCTGTGGTCTAGACGGTGGTCTAGCTGGTGGTCTATCGGTGGTCTAGATGGTGGTCTATCGGTGGTCTAGCTGGTGGTCTATCGGTGGTCTAGATGGTGGTCTATCGGTGGTCTAGATGGTGGTCTATCAGTGGTCTAGTTGGTGGTCTAGATGGTGGTATATCAATTTTCCTGTTGCTAGTATCAAATGTTTAGCTAGCAGTCACATGAAAGACTTCTACAAGAGATCTACGACACCGATATAACACCTACCCGACACATCCACACCTACCCGACACATCCACTACACCTACCCGACACATCCACTACACCTACACGACACATCGACTACATCTACCCGACACACCCACTACACCTACCCGACACACCCACTACACCTACCCGACACACCCACTACACCTACCCGACACATACGACACCTACCCGACACATCTACTACACCCACTCGATATAACTATACATTAACCCTGACAGCGACGAAGCCAGTGCATCAAATCCGGTGACATCCTTACAATGTTACCTACAAATATTATCCCAGTCGTACGTCATTCAATTTTTTTTAAGCGTTCTTCTGTTTCTCGAACATTCCTTTAAAATCTCTTTTGACAGTAAATTTTAAATTTGCTAGAATTTAACCCGACAATTTTTCGACAAGCCTACAATATCTGAATAATAAAAATAACGTGTCGTCCGTTTGTTGATAGATTAGGTGACATATCAAAGGCAGGATATGGATTTTTAGACCAGCCTGCAAAAAATCAAATGCAGGAGTTGCTTGTTTATAGAAACACGAGCCGACCCGCGGCATATCATACGCCGCTATTTAGTTGTTTTTTTTTTTCTACTTTTCAGTTATTCATAATTTGTGAATTCAAACTACCAACCCTGCAACTGAAAATATTTCTTTAAAACACTATAAGTAGCTCGTTAAGGACGATAACCCCCCCCCCCCTCCTCCTTTAAAGTAAACTCCACTTAGTTACCCCCCCCCCCCATCCTACGTTTAAAATCGTTTCAAACTAAATTATCTGCCCCTAATAGTCGTCACTAAACCCGGCTCTGTTTGTAAACATTTAGAGTGAACCACAGCTCACCAGACCATGTAGGGGTGGGGTGGTAGGGAGCGCGTTTACAGCTTGTTTTCTAGCGTCTCCCAGAAGAGAATTATATATATAGAAGATAATGTTCCGCCAAGCTAAGAGGTAAGTGTAAGTCTAGGAGTGTACACAGTCTCTTCACCACACATGCAGGGTAATTACTTCGGCTGACAAGCAGATGTGTATTTAATAATTCCCAGCTAGCGTTTACTTTGAAGTCTGGAGTTTCGGCGGAGTCTGAAAGTCGCGGGTTCGCCGCCATCCAGTCCCAATTTTATTTTATTTTAATTTTTTTTTTTTTTGCGGCACAATAAGATCTAATGATGGGACGGTGTGGCATATCGGTAGAGAACTAGACTGCTAACTGGAAAGTCTCGAGTTCGAATCCGAATTTTAGTCAGTGGAATGGACATGAGTCCACCCAACTCTGATGGGTACCTGACTCACGTTAGGGAAAGTACAGGCGGCTGGGTATAGTGCTGACCAAATTACTCCCTGTATATGCCGAGGTTACAGAAACAGTTGAACTCTACTTCACTTGCCACATCGATCGTTCGCTTTGAAAGGGAACTTTACATCTTTACTATACAATCTAACAAATGCCTCTAACGCATGTTTGAACTAACGTACTACACTATAGCCCTGCGGTCTACACCAAACAACTAACGCTAAACCTAACACAACCAACCATCACTTTAACTACAACATCACATTTCAACAACCCAGCCATGTCTTCATGCGACCAGCAAGTGAACTTTAAGATATCCCATGAGTTTACCTAACACTACTTCATCTGCCACTTTTTTAGCTAACTTTTTTTTTTAAATTCCACTGTTTATTGTTTAAAACAGAAGAAAAAGAAAAACAGCGACGTATGATGGTACTGGCACCAAAAAAAAAATGACGACCAATTAAGGTCCAATGACAACACAACGACGACATATTAAGGTCCTACGGCACAAATGATCCCGTTGTTACGTTCTAAGACGACAAAATGATAATCAAGTAAGGTCTTTGGGTCGACGGCAAATTCCCGAATGGACACTTGCCCGAATGGACACTTGCACGAATGGACACTTGCCCGAATGTGACAAATTCCCGAATGCGACAAATGCCCGAATGGACACTTGCCCGAAAGGACACTTGCCCGAAAGGACACTTGCCCGAATGTGACAAATTCCCGAATGCGACAAATGCCCGAATGGACACTTGC